TATGATACCTAACCCTGAAACTTCTGATCTTGTAAATGCCATTTTCCTATTTCTGGACTGGGCAGGTCTTGATCAGGCTCTTTAACTGTGACTGATATTTAGCCCTGTTTCTGGCCTTAAACATTTGACCTTTCAATCCCACATCCATCCAGGAGAATTCAGGGTTGGGGGAGGGAGGAGAGGTGCCTCACTTTGGCTGGCCTGAATCCGATACAGTCCTATTCAGAAAAGCAGACAAGGAAGCAGGTAGAATCTTTCCCACGTACTGCTGTTTCAGAGACAAACTGTTCCTACTCCTTAGGAGATGGTCTCGCCAACCAATATCTGTTTCCCTTAGCTGGGACTTGAGTTCTTTGGCCACTTTCCCAACCTTCTTTGTGGTTCTAAGGAAGGGAAAATTAGTTGCCTTTATATAAAGGCAAAAATCACTATCCAGTTGCATTTTGTTTCTACATGACAACCTATTTAAAAAACTATAGGCATGAAATGAACACATTGCTATAGTGGTCTTGAACGACATATCGACCCTCATCTCCCCACTATCCTTCAAAAGCTCCCCAGCAAAAAGCAAAGGGCAATAGATTTAGAATCAAAATATCTGAGTTTCGATCTAGCTCTTAACCCTCACTAGATTTGTATCCAATCCAACAAATGTTAAGTGCCTCCTGTGATGGATGCTATATAAGACACCATGCCAGAGACCAAGAATAGGAAGACAAAAAGCAGAGAAGTCCATGACCATAAGAAATTTACACTCTAGTGAGGGGAAATTGTGAGTAAGCAGATAAGTAATATATGATGGTTTGAGGGAGAGAAAGCACTGACACCTAGGAGAACCAGGAACTATTTCCCATAGGAGATGGCACATGAAATGAGCCTTAAAGCAAGCTAAGAGGAGGAGAAGTGTTCCAGATACATAGGCAGCCAGTGCACAGGCATAAAAATAGGAGATGGGACACAGAGTTTGGGGAACAGTAAGCCAGTCAGAGAACAGAGAATGAATGAAGGAGAGTAATGGGTGATAGACTGGGGCTTGGTTGTGAAGGCTGTGAAGGAACTTCACTGACACCTGAGGAGTTTCTACTTCACCTTAAAGTGTATAAGAAGCCACTGAAGGTTCTTTAGTAGGGCAGTGATGTGGTCTGATTTATGCTTTAGAAAAATCATTTGGCAAAGAAAAGATAGACAGCTTTGGAAATAGTGTGTAGTATTTATTATATAGGTTTTCTTTAAATGGAAGTTTATTGTTTTATATTGAATCCTCTCTTGCTGTGTACAAGGCAATGCTTTTTTCCCCTCTTATTTTGTATTTAAGTTTAAAATAAATTCAAATATAATTTTTTAAAAATTTTTAGGCAATTGGGGTTAAGTGACTTGCCCAGAATCACGAAGCTAGTAAGTGTCAAGTGTTTAGTCTGAGGCTGGATTTGAACTCAGGGCCAATGCTCTTTCTACTGGGCCACCTAGCTGCCCCCTCAAATATAATTAAAAAAAAAAGAAAAAGAAAAATCATTTGGGCAGCTCTTTGGAGGATAGATTGGAGAGGGATGAACTGGGAATTCAACCAGGAGGTTACTGTGGTAGTTCCAGTGACAAAGCCTAAACTAGGATTGTTGGCTATGTAAGGGGAAAGAAAGGAACAGCTGGGAGAGGTGGTGGGAGAATGAACAAGAACTGGTAATTGGACTAGATTTAGAGGCTGAAGTAGAATTCAAGGATGACTTGTGGGCTGCAAACCTGGAGTACTGGAAGGGTGACTGTATTCTCCACAGAAATGGTGAAGTTGAGGGAGGGGAAATAATACTGTTTTTGAAATGTTGAGTTTGAGAGGTATAAATCACAAAGAACTGGAGATGTCCAACAGGCTGATGATGCTAGACTGAAGCTTACGAAAAAATGAGGTCTGGGCATCTTCTACATGGATATGATCATTGAACCCATCGGGGTTTGTGAGATCACAGAAGGAGCAGAGAGAAAAAAGGGCCCATAGTTTGAGGATGGGACACAGATGATGTTCCAGCCAAGGAGACTTTGAAGGAGTGGTCAGAGAAGAAGACAACTGGTAGAAAACAGTGCCACTAAAATTAATGAACTGGGCAGCAATGTCACCTGAAGGCCAGTGAGGTCAGGAACGATGAGACACCGAGAAAAGCCTGTGGGATTTGGCAATTAGATTGTTGCCCTGAAAAAAGATTAATTTTATTTGAGTCCGTAATTTAGAAGCCCAAACTGGAACCAATTGAGAGGTGAGTAGGAGAAGGTAGAGGTCCTGATTATAGACTGCTTTTTCTAGGCTAAAAGGCTAGGCATTTATCCTCTCTGAACCTCAGTTTCCTTATCTATCTCACCCGGGCTGTGACTAAAGCACTTTGAAAAGTGCTTATCTAAATGAGAGCTATTATCATATTTTGCTTCCTCAGAATACTTCTCTGCCCTCTCTGAACCTTCACCACCCTTATCCTTTACTCTCTTTGCTTTTCCCACCACCCCTTTTCATCCTTTTGTCTTCTCCCTCAGGGTTGGGTACCTCAGTGCCCCAGATGCTGCCCACTGTGTGACTGTGCCTGTGCCTGCCAGCTGCCTGACTGTCAAAGCCTCAATTGCCTTTGCTTTGAAGTCAAGCTCAGATGAGGATCCTGTGCTCACAATTATGGGACACTGCCTTCCTGAGGACCTGCCTACCCCATGAGCACAGAACATTCCCTAGGAGCTGGGTCACCACCCCAGTGGAGCCCAAAATGGCTTGCCACCTGCCCCCAAGGGCTGGCTCATCCTTTTGTCTTCATTGGACCTAAGCAGAGAAGATCCAGGCTCTCCTAGCAAGATGAAGATAGCAGTTACCCTTAGAAGCATTCAACCCTCTTGAGAGCTGGGACTTCAAACACCTTGGAGAAAATCTAGGAGAGGCTAGTTCTCTTGCTGAATAACTTCTTGGTCCCTGCTCAGTCCTACCCCCACCAGTAGATAGGAGGGAAGGGGTATGACTAAAGTTAGGGCTGATAGTATTCATTCCTCCTCAGAAGAGGCTGAGTTCAGGGAATTCTGCTCAAGACTGTTGTGATTTAAGGGTGACCTTTGTTGTTCAGTCATATCCCACTCTTCATGTCCCTCTGGACCATACTGTCCTTGGGGTTTTCTTGGCAAAGATACTGGAGTGGTTTGCCATTTCCTTCTCCAGTGGATTAAAGGCAAAAAAGGGTGAAGTAACTTGCCCAAAGTCACACAGCTACTAAATGTCTGAGGCCGGATTTTAACTCAGGTCTTCCTGATTCCAGACCTAACACACTATCCACTGAGCTATCTAGCTGCCTCAGGGTGACCTAACAGGGGCTTGTACCGTTCCATCTGCTGACTCCCCATTCTTTTAGGAGATAGGTGTGTACCTTTCTACCCAACTCTGAAATAAGTACCCATGAATAAGGACCAGAAAGAAAAACAAGAAAGGCTTAAGGTTGGGAGAAGGGAGAGTTAACACCAACTAGTTTCTGGCTTTCCACTTTTGAGATTTCAACTCTGTATCTCCTTTGGCAGGCAGGGCAGCATGACTGATTTCCATAGAAAAGGATGGCAACTCAACTGCTGGTGAGTGGGAAGTGGTTACATGTGGCTTTCTTTCTCTGCCTGCTTTTGCCCTCTATCTACTGGATCCCTCTCCACCTCTTTTCTTAAGCAGAAGCCTTTCTCTTGGTCACTCCCCCTCCTCTAATTTCTTCCCCTCCCCTGCTCTGAGCCCCATCCGGGCCTGAATGTCAGGGGCTTCAGGTTTCCCCTAAATATAGTTATCTGCCAGAGGAGCTGGGATGGGGAAAGGGCAGGGGTCACAAGAGAAGGTCGGGAAAATTCCAGGAGGAGGGTGGGGAGTACTTTATAACCCCTACCAAGCCCTGCCTGACCACTCACTGCCTAGGCTTGAGTCTAACCGTCCAGACTCCATTTAGGTGGGTACCATATGGGGTAGCTAAGCAGAGAAAATGAGGTGGAGGTAGGCAGGATTCTTGGGTTGGAGAGACTAATAAGAGAGGGAGTGGGATTTTAATAAGGGTGAGGGAGGTGGGTGGGTGGAGGAAATTTGCAAAGTGGGAAAGTATTGAAATGATGCCAGAAGTCCGGGGTAATCTAGATTCTGAAGCAAAGGGGAGATGTGATTTGGAAATTAGCTGGGCAGATGGTGCAGTATTTGGGAATGGAATTTAGGTATTATCCAAAGGACAAAATGACCTCCCCCTTCCGTGCTGCCTGGGAGCCGCCCTTCGGTTTTATCGAGCGCTCAGGTGATGGGGCCAAGGAACCTCTGGCTCGCTCCCCTAAGGTTTCTGCATTCTAACCTGCTGAGGCCTGTCGCCGCCGGCCCCAGCAATAGGGCGCGGTCCCTACATTCTGCGGAGGACTGCGCTTAAGTTGCGCAGCTGCATCTTCCAAGGGCGGTCGGGGGTACCTGAGTTGACCTTTAAGGAAGCCCGAAGCTTGGGAGGAGATCTAGCTTGTGTGGAAATGTCATTGCAGGCAGCAATGAGATTGTAGAGGGGACGGAAATGGAGTGGGGCCTAGAGGTGGGGGCAGGTCTGAGCACCTCTCCAGGAAGTTTCCCACTTACAGGAGGGATCCGGGAGGGGAAAATCCCAAGGAAAGAGTACTTGGGTAAATCACCTCAATCTCTAGCTTCTTCCTTCCGTCTTTCAGCCACCCTGCTTCACTTTTTCCTGGAGCTTCTCCCCCCTACCCCACTCCATGACCTTCTAAAATTCATCCATCCTCTTCGATCTGTAGCTCATACACCCCTCCCCCATCTCTCCTAAACTTCCCCCTCCTTTATGAAAATATGAGCTGACTCACGCGGTGCTAGGCTGGGGCGGGGGCGGCGAGGGGGGAGGGGGTGGGGGAGCAGCTGCTCGAGGTGGGGAGGCGGGGGGGGGGTCGCGCGACCCACGGGATGTGGTTCCAGTCACGTCCGAAGGTAGGGCGGGAACAGGAGCAGACGGTTCCCCCCCTCCCTTTTTTGGAATTCTCGGGAACGCTGCTACGTATGGTCTTACGCTCTCCCCCCAGCTTTAGCATTCTCGCTTGCTGATTGGGTGAAAACAGCTTTCCCCGCCCCTTCCACCCCCAAACCTCCACTAGGAGGCACGGTCTCTTTAAATGGTCAGACTCCGCCTTCGTTCCGCCCCTCCTGAGTTCAATAGGCGACGTTCGGATTCGGAAAGCGCAGAAGTTCAGTTCTCGACCATAAGCGGTCTGCTTTCTGCTGGTAAGCCCACCACCGAGGCCCGCAGCCCCGCTTCCGGAGGCCAGGTGAGCGCGGCTGCTGGGGCTGGGGCAGCTCGGCCCGGAGGCGAGAAGGAGCGCCCGGCAGACCCCCTGCGGCCGTGCCCTCGTCTGTGACCCGACCCGCATGGCCCCTCGGACGAGGTGGTGCTCGGAACGGGCAGGTCGCCGGCACCCTCATCCCGCTTCTTGTCTAATCCCCGAACTGGAATTTTGCTGCTTTCTGCGCAATGCGACAGTCGGGGCGGAAGGCTGAGTCACGCGGGGGAGGGCGCGCCCGAGAGCGGCCCGCTGCCGGGGGAGGGGGAGGGGAGGGGAGGAGGGGGTTCGGGGTTTTAGAGCCCAGCCGGAGCTGAGGGTGGGAAGAGAGAGGCCTGCCACAGAGGTGGAATGCGAAGGGAGCCACAACTGTGGGCGTGGATCAGTCTCGTCCTGGTGTTCCCGGGCAATAACTGCCTTCGGAAAATGTAACGTAGGAGGTGAGGCGGAGAAGGGAAACGCGACTTAAGGGAAATTCCCTCCGGGGTTTGCTATCACCTTCCATTAATGCCTTCCGTCTCACCTTGAACCACCCAGCCTGCCACTGTGGCTGGAATAATAGAAGGGATCGTTCTAGAGGGGCACTGCTCCGGAAACTGGCTGTCTTATTCCCGCCCCCCTTTCCCACTCCCCCTTCTCAGCCCCAGTAGTAGTCAGCTGACTGGGAATGAGGGAAAGCTGAGACGTCTTCCAAAACGAGAGCTTCTAAAATGGAGGGTTAGGCTCTTGCCCTTCACAGGGGTCAGCCTAATGCCTCAGTCACCCCCAATGCTCATTCTGTCGAAGTAGCTCCAAGCTAAAAGGGGAGGGTAGCCTGACCTTGAAATGCCCTTGGGGGATTGGCACTAAGGAAAGAGAATATATGGTCTAAAGGAAGAATACACTAAACTAGGAGTTTAGGAAATCTGTATTGTAGCTCTGGGTCTTGGAAATTGTCTCCTGGGGGGGTGTCTCCACCCTTTGTTGTCCAGAATATTTCCTTCTGTTTCATCTGAGGTTCTAGGCTTTCTTTCACCTTTGTTTGTTTAAGAAATTAGACAGATATTTAAATGAGCCCTTGGTGTGCATCTAAGCAAGGTGACCCTAGAGCTGATGCTGCCAGAGGGGCCCAGGCTATTTTCTTGGCCTTTCATTGTATCCCAAGACTTCTAAGTAATTGTGTTCTGCCAGAGCAGCCACACCCTAGGCTTGGATCTCCACCCTAGGTTTAGGAAAGGTAGAGAAGCAAAAAAATGGGGAAGTAGACGTGGACTAGGGGAAAAGAGAAGTTGGGTAGCAAGAATGATCTGACTTTGAATTACACAAACAAGTTTATGCCATTAATACAGAAAGGTCTAGCTTATATTTTACTATCTCCACCCAGGAAACTACCAGCACAGCCAAGGAAAACATGCCTTACAAACACCCAGCGTTGACACCAGAGCAAAAGAAAGAACTGTCGGAGATAGCTCATCGAATTGTTGCTCCGGGCAAGGGAATCTTGGCAGCAGATGAGTCCACTGGTACAAAGGGGTGTTGGAAAGAGGCAGAGGTTTGAGGGGAGGGTAGCAGCTTAGCTCTCTAGATGACACCCCTCCTCAACCCCTCTTCAGGTAGCATTGCAAAACGGCTGCAGTCCATTGGAACTGAGAACACAGAGGAAAATCGTCGTCTCTATAGGCAGTTACTTCTGACAGCAGATGATCGAGTGAACTCCTGTATTGGAGGTGTTATCCTTTTCCATGAGACACTTTACCAGAAAGCCGATGATGGTCGTCCCTTCCCTAAAGTCATAAAGGCAAAGGGTGGCATTGTGGGCATCAAGGTAAGGAGGTTTAGGGGATGAGTTAGAATTAAAATAAAATTCTTGAAAGTGCCAGGGGCTGAGGTTTGAGAGTAATTGGAGTAAAGATGTTTGACATAGGAAGAGAAACAGGAGCAAAGATAAATGGGTCCAAATGGAGTGAGGGTAGATAAGAAGGTATGAAAGAATATCATAAATATTACATTCTCTCTTCTCACCCTGCCCCCAACAGGTGGACAAAGGTGTAGTGCCCCTGGCAGGTACCAATGGCGAGACTACCACCCAAGGTAAGAAATATCTGGATGAAAAAGGCTAGCTCTCTCACCTATCTTGAATGAGGCATTCTTTGTCCTTACTCCCCATCTAAGCTCTAGTCATCTTCGTTGTTGGCTAAGGACATATTGAACCACTGTCTCACTTCCAGGCCTGGATGGGCTGAGTGAGCGCTGTGCCCAGTATAAGAAGGATGGAGCTGACTTTGCCAAGTGGCGTTGTGTACTGAAGATTGGGGAGAATACACCTTCCCCACTTGCCATCATGGAGAATGCTAATGTGCTGGCCCGATATGCCAGCATTTGCCAGCAGGTGAGTGTCTCCTTATCCTCCTGCTGCCGTATCCTACCATATTCCCAAAAGTCTCTTTCAGTTCTAGAGAACATGGCACAAACCATGTCAGCAAGCTGTTGAAAAAACATCAGCTTTCCCTGTTGCCATTGTAGCAGCAGCTGGTACTAAATTCTCTAGTTTGGGTCCTGAGAAGGCAGGTCTCCTAGGGATTGTTAATTTACTTGAGATAGAGCAAAACAAAAGAAACTGTGAAGCGTCAGTCTGATAGAGTGGGAAACGTGCCAGACTTTAGAGTTTTTAGCTCTGACACTAGCCTTGTGATCCGAGACAAGTTATTCTGCTTCCTGAGCTGCTGGCCCTGTAAAATGAATAAAACAATACTTAATCGTGAGAGATAGGTTGGAAGCAGATATCCATCTCTTCCTGAGACCTAAGTGTTTGGAAATTTGGGGAATTCAAGATTTATACCTGTTGTTGTGAAGATAAAGTCTGTCTCTAGTTGTTAAAAGCAAAGGTGGGGTAGAAGATAGCTCCAGGTAGGGGTTGCCTTCACAGCCTTGTTCTTTGCTTTATAGAATGGCATTGTCCCCATTGTGGAGCCAGAGATCCTTCCTGATGGAGAACATGATCTGAAGTGTTGTCAGTATGTCACTGAGAAGGTAAGAGATGTGAGAATCACTGTGAGAATCCCAGTGTGACTGGGAAGGAAGTAGATTGGGAGCTAAGGTGCTAGTAATTTCCTAGTTCACTTCTCCTTTGTTACTTTCCCTTTTTCTAGGTCCTGGCTGCTGTCTACAAAGCTCTGAGTGACCACCATGTCTATCTGGAGGGGACCTTGCTGAAGCCTAACATGGTCACCCCTGGCCATGCCTGTACCCAGAAGTATTCACATGAGGAGATCGCAATGGCAACTGTCACTGCCCTTCGCAGGACTGTGCCTCCTGCAGTCACTGGTGAGAGAAATCCCTTTCTCTCTCAGCATTTTGTCTCTTATCTTGGGTCACATATGTTCTCTTTATATCTTTTTTTTTCTTTTTTAGAGAATGCTTGTTACCAGCACTTTCTTATGTACTATCTAATCTCTTCCATCTCTCTTTTCTCCCTTCCATAGGTATCACCTTCCTGTCTGGGGGTCAGAGTGAAGAGGATGCCTCCATCAACCTCAATGCCATCAACACCTGCCCCTTGCACAAGCCATGGGCCCTGACCTTTTCTTACGGCCGAGCCTTGCAGGCATCTGCCCTCAAGACCTGGGGTGGAAAGAAGGAAAATGTCAAGGCTGCGCAAGAGGAATATATTAAGCGGGCCACGGTGAGGACGAGGGAAAGAGCCAGGATGAGGGACCTTCACAGGCAGAATTTTAGGAACATAAATTAAGGGGTCAGGATTGGGGAGAGAACAAGTAGTCTTCAGTCTCTTCTAGTGGTGGAGGGTTTATCTGGGCTGGGCTGGGTCTTTGGTGTCAGTGTGGGTAGGATCCAGGACTACCTGCCTTTCTCATACTTCCTTCTTCCTTCTCTAGGCTAACAGCCAAGCTGCTCAAGGCAAGTATACTCCAAGTGGAAAGTCAGGAGCTGCAGCCAGCGAGTCTCTCTTTGTCTCTAACCATGCCTACTAAGTCAAGGCCTTCCACCTGGGTATGCCCTGACACTCCAGGCCATCCCTCACAGTCCAAGAAGAGACTGAGATCCCAGAGCTTTGTGCTGACCTCTCCCATCACTCCTAATTTGTGTGGTGTTATTGCTCTCTGGTGAATCTAGTGACCCCTCCTCAGCCCACTTTTTCCAATAAACAACTATTTAACAAGGAGTCTGATGCCTGTGATGGGGTAGGGGTAACTTAATGATTTCCCTTTGATGGGTCGCTTGGGTCTTTCTGTAGGTTTGTGTTGTCTTATCCAAGCAAGGAGAGCCAATCTTTGCCTTGAGCAAAAAAAATAAAAATCATCTTTATTAATCTCCTGTGAAGGGGTGGGGGTGGGAGAGGGTTATAAATAGGGAACGGATGGTCTTTAGCTATAAATACAAACTATAAATTAACTGTGGATCATTGTGTCATCTCCCCAAGGGTATGTGTAAACGTACACATTCATTTTGGCAGCCAAATCTCCTCCCCTTCCCCAAGAGCAAGATTCCCAGTGGGAATATTGAAGTGTATCACAATTTGCTCTTGGCACTGATTCAGGCCAAGGCCTCCTATTCAAGGTGGGTTGTCAGAAGTAGTCATCTGTTGGTCATGCCCTAAAATTCTCTCCCCCTTCCAACGTCAAGATTGTTCCCGATCACTGTCCTTAGATATCCCTATAATATTTGTGGGTTTTGTTTTTGTTTTTTCAAAGAACTATGATTGACATTGGTGTGTATGTCATGGAGAGATCACCAGGGAATTTTGGAACCCTGCCCGCCAAAGTGAGCAGGGTTAGAATTTGAGCATCTTACATTAAATCGCAGGTGTCTACCCTTTTCATTTCATCCAGGGTATCATGGTAGAATTCTTGTTAATTTTCCTTCCTTAGCATAGAACTTGCTTGGAACCAGTTTCCATTCTGTTCTCCCTATATTGGCAGTGGTACATTAGGAATAGGAGAGAGCCGGGCTGCAATCAGGTGCTTTTTCTGCCCAAGAGTGAAGAAGCAGCAGCTTGATATGGTAGAGAAAATCAGTGGATTTGTAAGCAGAACGGCTAACTGTTTGACCCTGTCGCTTACTAGCTGTGTAATCTTGGATAATAAGGCTCTGATAGAAGATTATGTCTGGGAGAGACCTTGGAGATCATTATCTAATCTATGTTGAGGATGGGTTTTATGATCTGAAGTCCCTTCTGGTTATTAATACTATGATAGTATATTGAAAAGCACTGCTCCATAGAAAGCCCCTTAATCTCTGGGTTCTACTACACAGATTTTAATTTAGAATATGTTGTAAAATTTACAGTCCTTAAGGGATACTATATAGAAGACAGTTTCCTGATTTTTAAGTCAGTAGCTCCTTAAATTTGTCCCAAATTTAAAGTCAATTCTGGACCAATCGTTACTACAAGTCATCCATATTCTATGATCTAGAATCCAAGAAAAGCTCAGCTCAAAAGAAAACTTTGGATTTCCTTTTGCTAAATATAAGTCTGTACATATTTGTTGTATTTTTATTAGGTTTCACACATTTCTCAGAATCACGTACTGAATATTTTCTCTACAGTCCAGCACATGTTTGGGATGTTTTGATAGGCATTTACAAATGGAGACCAATCGAAAGAGTAACCAGAATAGTGATACTAGAAATTGAAATTCTTCAATTGAAAGGACTATGCATATTTAATTTGGAGAAGAGAAGGGGGGGGGGGATTAGGGGTTATGGCATGATAGTTCCAAAATGGGATTTTTATATAGGACAGGGATTTGACTATTTCTTATGGCTCTAAAGGGCAGGAGTTGGGGTAATAGAGACTTAAAGGTGCAGATTTTGAAAGTAAAACACAACTATTAACAAAAAGTAGGGAATGGACTGTCTTGAAAAGTGAGTTCCTTCCGAATTTGAATGTCTAGTGGAGGATGATCCTTTGTCGTGTATTCCTGTTCAGGCATGAGTTGGACTAAATGACCTTTGAGACCCATTTCAACTCATTCAGTGGAAAAGATCACGGAGTTCAAGCAGGGGAAGTGTCTTGGCTCCAACTTCCAAGGAAAGAGTAGTAAGAATCCAGGCCTCCAGATTCCCAAGCCAGGATTTCTCCATTTCTTCATTCAAGACCCAGTGTTGGCAATGGCCAAGATGAAGATGGACAAAGGCACACAGTTTAGTGGGGAAGATCAATCAAATGAGTAACTAGTGTAGGAGGCAGAGTAACCTAGTGAACAGTTTTTCGCCTTGGGAGTCAAGAGATAATGTGTTGGACTACCAGGTAAAAGTTTTGCCTACCCCATGCTAGTTTTATGACCACAGGCAAGTCACTTAAAGCTTTCTGAATCTCGGTTTTCTGACCTGTAAAATGGAAATTCATTATTTGTACAACCTGCCTCAGTTTCCCATTGTGAGGAGAAAAAACATGGTAAAATAGTAGGTGCCATTATAAATGTTAGTTTATTAGTTGGCAAATACGACAAGGAAGGACATAATAGGGCAGCTAGGTGGCGCAGTGCATATATTGCTAGGCCTGGAATCAGGAAGACTCACGTTTCTGAGTCCAGTTTTGGTCTCCACTCTTACTTGGTGTGTTCTTAGGCAAGTCACTTAACCCTGGTTTGCCTCAGTTCCTCATCTTTAAAAAATGATCTGGAAAAGCAAATGGCAAACCACTCCAGTATCTTTGCCAAGAAAACCCCAAATGGGCTATGACTGAAAAACATAAAGGAAAAATGCTATGGGTTTCAAGAAGGTTCAGGGAAGCCCACATAAGATTATCCCGGAAAGATAAGCAAGGTTTTTTTTTTATAGGTAGAGATGGTTGGAGAGAGTAAGGAAAGCACTGCAGTATTTCTGAAGGGGAAATGAGGGAGGAAGGAGTAATGGAGTAAGGCTGAAAAAGATCACGAATGGCTAGAGCTGATTTGAGAAGGCCTGGAAGCAAGTCATCAGCAAACACGTTGGTGCTGCATTCCTGCTCGTGGTCTCAGACTAAGGCCCAGAAGCCGAGACTGCTTCAACCGAAATATCCGTGAAAGGGGCCCATCGCCATTCCGGCCCACAGCCCCAAAATCAGCGAGACGGAGCCAGATTCACAGACAGAAGAGAAGCAAAGGCGCTTAGGGCCCCGCGTTTGAATCCAGGGCCTGCCACGAATTAGCTGTGACTTTGGACAAATCATTTCCGCTTTCTGGGCTCCACTTTTCTCAATCGTCTAATACGCATAGTACAACTGCATTGTTACCTAAAACAATAATAATATCCGCTCTTCTCTGACGTATCACTTTCGAAGAGGGAGCGAAGAGCGCCGGGCTCCGGGCGGGGCCTAGCAATAACTCATCTTGGAAGCCCCTCCTCTGACTCGCGCTTCAGGGATTACTTCCGTCCTCAAGGACAACATCCGGTTCCTTTGCCCTTTTTTTTTTTCCGCCCTCTTTTCTGAAGACGGGAGGGGTGGGGCGTCGAACCTCTGACGCTACTTCCGCTGCGCGACGGAAGTGACCTTCGGTTTCCGCGGCGGGGCCGGAAGCAGCAGCGGCAGCGGTGGCGGCCGGGAGCGGACGGAGGCTCGAAGGTGGAGCCCAGAGCCCGCGGCTCAAAAGTGGGTTCCCGGAGCCGCCGCGTCGGTAATAGCCTCAGGAGTTCTCTCTCACCTTTGGGTCACCTTCCTACTCTCCCAGCTAGTCCCTGGGCCCCGCTGTACTAGGGTTGCCCCCCCACAACCTCCCGGAGATCCCGGGCTGCGGCCAGAGCCGGGGCACCGGGCCCGGCTTGGGGCCTGCGAGGGGTTAGGGGGTGGGGGAAATCTGCGGGGCCCCGGGCTTAGGGAGCCCGTGGTTGGCGCGGAGTGGCGCGGGCCACATTATGTGTCTGACCCGCTGACCCTGTCTCTTCACCCTTGTTTCCAGGAGACACCCGTACGGGCGGGCCGACTAGGGAGGGGCTCGGACCCCTGGGTGCGTCTCCCCCCCCACGCCCCCCGCACCGGGGGGGCCGCGTGAGGCGGGGGGACCATGGCGGAGATCAGTGATCTGGACCGGCAGATCGAGCAGTTGCGCCGCTGCGAGCTCATCAAGGAGAGCGAGGTCAAGGCTCTGTGCGCCAAAGCCAGGTGAGCCTCCAGGACTCTCGCGAGGCAGGCACCAGCCCCCGTGCTCAGTCCGAGGGTGTCCATTGTGGGGATAAAGCTTAATGCTTACGGAGGGGTAGCCAGGTTGCCCTTGGCTACTATGTAATGATAAAGTCATTAGGGAGATCCTATTGAGGGCTCAGCTCAGCGAGGAATGAATAAAACAGCCTCACCCTTAAGGAATGGAGCCCCTCATCTCCTGTAATAAGTAATACAAACAGAAAACAGCCCCAAACAACACATGGTTTAGTGTAGTTAGTGCTAGATTTTGTGTTGGGCCATAAGTTCCTGTAGGAGTTCAAAGAGAAGATCAGGGAGGGTGGTCAAATCAGTCAGGGTTTCTTGGAAACAGGTGAGACTTGAGCTGGGCCTTAACATTAGATTGAAATTGGTGGATATGTAGGATTTGAGAGGTGAAGGAGAGCAATGTGAGCAATAGGGCAGCAATGTGGAAGGAATGAAATTGAGTGTGAATAGGAACAGTGAGAGGGCCTCTTGGTTACAGACAGCCTCGAAAGCTAGATAGCTTAGGCTTGATATTATAGGACATAGCTGAAGGTTCTTGAGCAGAGAAGTGACATGGTGAAAGGTTTTGTGGACCAGTCAGACCCAGATGGACATAGAGGGGAACACTGAGGTGGAGTTTAAATCTTATATTGAAAAAAAGCTAGGTAAGAGCTGATATGTCCTGGCTTATAGGCCAGAATTAAAGGAGGGGCCCCGGTCCCTAAGAAGCAAGGAAAGTTTGGTTAGGTCAACGGTCTTGCAGTATTTGATCCCCATGTTTGGCTTGGTTACCTGTGATAATCTGGTAGCCAAGTCGGAAGGGGTTGTCCTGGTGTCCCCAGTAGGCAAACTGCTTATAAAGAGATAGACCAGTGCTGATATTAAGGGCCCCACTATTCCTCAAGAATTTGCAGAGCACCATTCCTACCATTGGAAGGATGCTTTTACTAGTTTGAGATCCAGTTGGCGCTTGTTTTGGCCTTTGGTATAGAGCACCAGATGAGACAGTATTTGGCCCCAGTGTTCCTATGAGAAGGTTTTGGTCCTTGAGGTTT